GCAACAGTAATTGCAAAAGAAAAATAATAATTTTTTTTTGCAATAAGCTTTTCTATGCTAAAGAGCCAGAAGCAATGGTTTCAACACAAACTACTTTGCCAGGTTTGCAAAAACACCTGTGCAGTCTGAACGGATTTTACATTATAGGTTATACATGTATATTGCTCAATTTTACTATAATTCTAAAACGGAAATTCCCAACATTTCACAACAACAGTTCCAGTGTCAAAGATGAACATGTTGATTAAGCACAGTAAGTATTCATGAAATAAAGTTCAATTACCTGGCAGGATTTCTAAAGAGCTATAAGCAAGGACTCTGTCCCACAGCAGGAGAACCTGGTCGCTAGACAAATACCCTGAAAATGCTCTAACCAGCCATTTGAATGCTATTTTCAATCTGAAAATAAAACATGAAATAACCTAGAACTGTGTCCAAAGGACAAGGATGCCCCCACTGACAACATATATATGGTAAATAGTGAAAAAAGTGCCATAATTCTGTTAAATTTGGTCGCAGCAAAAGTTCCTTCCTTTACTACCATCTACACATTAAGGTTTTCATCCCTGGAAGTTTAAGAACAAGAGCTGTCACAGGAGACAGCCAAGCTCGACTAATAAAATACTGGACACAGTAAGGAGGACAAAACTATGAAAGAAAAACCAATTATGTATAATTATGTATTAAGTTATAGTAAAAAAATATCATTTGTTAACATAAATTCCAAGATCAAGGGGAATAATTCTAGAAAAAGTCATGCTAGAGTTATGAACCTTTCACACTACATGTGTGTAATGATAAGAAATATATATTTGAAGTTTGAAGTAGATACCTTAAAAAGTAAAGAAGTTATAATATTTCTTAAAGAAAATCCTAAGTTCAAAGAAAGATAAATCTGTAAATATTGCTTCAAGAGTTACGAACATTGTCACATAAAATGTAATTGATGATAAGGAATAAGTATTTGAAGTTTGAGGTAGATACCATTAAAACTAAAAAAGTTATAGTAAAAAATAACATTTTTCTAGTAAAAAAAATCTAAGTTTATGGGGAGATAATTCTTGCAATGTTAGTGCTAGAGTTATGAACCTTGCCACATATGATGTGGATGATGATAAGTTACATATATTTAAAGTATGAAGTTGATCCCTTTAGAAATAAATAAGTAACAGTAAAAAATAGTATTTTTTGAGGAAAATTCTAAGTTCAAGGGGAGATAAATCTGAAAATATTTGTGCTAGAGTTATGAACCTTGTCACATAAGATGGGGATTATGATAATGTACATATATTTGAAGTATGAGGTTGATCCTTTAAGAAATAAAGAAGTAACATTAAAAAATAGTATTTTTTAAGGAAAATTCTAAGTTCAAGGGGAGATAAATCTGAAAATATTGGTGCTAGAGTTATGAACCTTGTCACATAACATGTGGTTGATCATAAGGAACATACATTTGAAGTTTGAAGTAAATACTTTAAGAAATGACAAAGTTATAGTGAAAAATATTTTACTGCACCAAAACTTTAATCTAAAATCTGGACGCGGACGTGGACGCCGACGCCGGGGCGAGTAGGACAGCTCTCCATATACTTCGTATAGTCAAGCTAAAAATCTGCCATCCAGTTTAAGAGGAGTTGCGCTCACATAGTTTCTACATAGTATCTAGTGGAAAAATCAACAATGGACCATAATTCTGTTAAATTTGGTCGTAGCGAAAATTCCTTCCTTAACTGCCATCTACACATTAAGGTTGTTCATCCGTGGAAGTTAAAGCAAAATCTGCCATCTGGTTTAAGAGGAGTTGCGTTCACAAGATTTCAGGACGGACAGACAGACGGACAAGTGCAACGCTATATGCCCCCCACTTTGTGGGGACATAAAAAGACGCTAATGTTAAATGAATGCTATCCCCCATTGTGATTGTGTCAAAGAGTAAGTGCTAAAATATTTTTTGTAACATAGTTTAGGAACCTTTCTGTTGAAAATGTGTCAGAGTTAAAGTATACCGTGATATACATGTACAATTGAACAGTGCATTAACTGGATTGCAGGTATAAGTTACCTACACTCCAGGACGTGCCCATTGATTGTCTCATTTTTTCTAGGGTTTACCCATAGAAGTATCACATTCAGATGCTCGTTCATTGTTAACTTTTTTTCTGGGGTTTCATATTGTGACAAAAGGGAGTGAGTTTCTATTTTTGCCTATGATACAAAAGAGAAAGAACATCAAAACACTCGGCAATCTTATTTATACTCGGGGGCTGCTCCCTTTTACAAATGAGATAGCCTCATGTTTCTATGCTCTGTCTATTACTTATAAGCAACTTACTTAATACAAACATTTATCGTGATTATAGGACTTTTCAGCTAAATCTGAATTCTACAATTTAGCAACATGAATATGGAATAATACATAGAGGATATTTGTTTGTTTTGGATTTTGCATGTAAAATCGATATATATTTCACAACTGGTGCTTTCAATCTACATATTATTATTTGATTTTTACATAATATAAAACAAACAAATTTTGTATTTATTTAAAAAATAAGTTTTAAATAACTTTATAAGTGGCATTAAATATCCTGTAACACAATTTTTTATGGTTTTATATTATAAATATGATGCTCAAATTAAGATTCATCAATAAAGCATTATTTGTAAAAATATAACTGAATTAAACAAATCATGTAAATAAATGGAGGTCATTAAAAATTTATTTTCTATAAAGTCTAACTCTGACACCAAGATTGTTAAGACTGGTGAAAAATTGAAGAATATATGCGCTGATAATTTAAATGCTATTGATATTTCTATGCAAAATGAAAGTAGCGTAAAATACCTATATAATTTTTTAGTCATATTTTTTTTTTCATAAAATTTATTTTTGTCAATTATAACTTTGTTTGGATGATGTTTAAGGGGTTTGGGTTGTAGAGGGGGAACAGGGGTATAGTGTACGTCATGGCCACGTGACGTTCACCTGTGATTTTATCATGATACTTTATGCACCCACTTTAATCACAGAGTTTATTAGGAAAATAATTCTGTTAAATTTCTTAAACTTTGTTATATTTTCAGCATGATGTTCCATGTATTTTTTTGACCAAACAAACATTCATTGATGATTTATCATTATTCATTCTTAATCAAATTATTTATAATAAGTTCCTCTACTATTTAATTACATTTTGCATATATTTCACTGGCATATTATCAAAACATTATTTTATATTCAATTTATCAAAATATTATTTCACTGTCAACTGGAAAGAATGCAACGTAATGGATACTTCTCATATTCAAGGATGTTAGTTATTAAGTAAGCAAAGCAATACCGTGGATTTTTTTTTATCTGGTAAACTTTTAAGGTTCTATTACACTTTTACCATAATTTGTAAATTATACTTGTTTATAACAATTAAGTGAAGACCCCTATAATCCTCTCATCTGCTTATTCATTGACATATAGACTAGAATTACTATCAACTGCATTGAAATTGAGAGGCATGGGTTTGAACCCTACAAGGGTCAACTTATTTTTTTCTTTACTTTATTTCATTATTTATGTACCTCTTACATCACTCTTAAAAAAAGTTTGTTTTTTTTTGTAATTATTTTACGTATTTTACGTAAATTTACCTAAATAATGCTAAATTAAATAACAAATTTGGTATTTTCAAAGTCTAATAAAAGCAAAACTGCATGGTAAAAGTTATGAATATTTGACAAGATCAACCAATATCATAACTGTTAAGAAAATTAAGGAAAGCTTGAAAAAAGCCCCTCATTTTAGCAATTTTCATAGATATTTTAAATAAGGCTCTCTAAGTAGGAAAATTGTGGAACAAGTGCTTGAAATCGGTTGGCTTCAGTAACTTTTTTATTCATATTTCAAACATTTTGATTACAAACAAGTATTTTGCTTGAGTGATGTCTTAGTTGAAAGCTATTATTTGTTTATTAACAATAATCAATAGGACAACATGTTTTCAATTTAATATGATATTATTGATTGTTTAGTATTTTCTCATTCTAAAATAGAGCCCTTCTAATATCAAAGCTTAAATAAAGTAAGTCAGAAACTGTACAGTAAATTTTGCTTAAATTTTGCATACAGGTGTCTTTAAAGGCATATATCTGACCTATGTTGTTATTTGTTCAGCTCCTTATAGTACCCATAAGGCTGGTTACACTTTAATCCCTTAAAGATAAGTTTGACTAAGATGGAAATAAATATGTAGAAGTAGTAATCTTATACTGGTAACAAAATGTATCAGTCTTATTTCTGTAGATTAAAGATATATTATGCTCAAATTTGATATTAAAGAAACAACTGATAACTACTATACAGCCTATTAAACATCACTTGAATACACACAGAGAAAATATGTCACATATTGAAACACTGCACACCAAAGGTGATCACAGTATGATAACATAGTGTCATTAAAAAAACTCCCAGTTTTTTTATAAGAATAGACCAAATTTAAATTTGACAAGTAATAGGGAATGCAGCTTCTTAAACATAGTTTATACATTATCTTATTCAAATAAGGCATATTCAGGCATATTTTACTATATTTCAACAAATTTCTTCAATAAAAGTGTTTCTGTTAAATCAAATGAAGGGAAATAATTCAGGTATTATAAAATATTAAGTAAATAATGAGTTACTTCCCTTTGATGCAAAAGACATGGTTTAGGTTTGTACTCATTGTTACAACATCTAGATAAGTACTTTTGTACTAGTAATTTTAATACAAAACCGGTTTTGTACATTCATTGTTTGCTCTATATATATCTGGATTTTCATATTTGAAAATCAATTTCTTAAGTGAGCAACACTCTCTTTTTCAAATTTAAATTCAATACCAAAATTATTTATCAGATTTGCGGTTTTTTTTGATAGCTATAATTTATTGTAACATACTACATAAAACATATTCAATTTGTTAAAATATAACGCAAACATATGTAGACATTGTATAATTGAGCCATGTCACAACAAAACCAACATAACGTGTTTGCGACCAGCATGGAACCAGACCAGCCTGCGCAACCACGCAGTCTGATCAGGATCCATGCTGTTCGCTATCTGTTTCTTTACTTGTTATAGGGTCTGTAAGCGAACAGCATGAATCCTGATCAGACTGCGCGGATGCGCAGGCTGGTCTGGATCCATGCTTGTCGCAAACACATTATGTTGGTTTTGTCGTGACACGGCTCAATTGTTTTGCAAGAATGAAGCCCAACATTCGGTGGTATTTGACAGCCACTTTCCTGTGATGACAAATGGGCACAGGTTTCCAAATATCTTTTACCTTAAATAACACTGAAATCAAAAAATTTAAAAGAGTTTTTTGTGTTTGTTTTTTTTCGTGGATTAGTTGACCATGTTTTGCAAAGCATTTATGTGACAAAGATAAATTTATTAATCAATTACAAAATGTATTGCTAAATGCCATAGTTGCACATTTATTGTGTCATCTTGTATACTAAATGTTGTCCCTAAATACAAGCATTCTCGCATTATTGCATTTGAGTGTGAAGTTGTTATTAGTCCCCTACCGGTTTAACCGGAGGGGACTTTAGGTTTACCCTCCGTCCGTCTGTCTGTCAGTCTGTCCGTCCACAAAACTGGATCCCGCGATAACACGAAAAGTACTGAAAATATTTTAATGAAACTTGATATATGGATAGATGGCAGTATGGAGATTATGCATGTCTTTTTTTTCTTCTTATGTTGAAAATTCTGGTTGCTATGGCAACAAATAGCCTGAAAATATGGCAAATTGAACACATAAACTGGTTTGTAGAAGTTTTGTAGAAAATAAGATGGTACAGATCTATGGAAATTCTCATTTTCAATTTAAGTTATGCATCACACTTGACATATTTTGTAATAGAGTTATTTGCTAAAGACACATAACAGTGTAACTTTGGAAAACAAACTATAACGATTTTCAGTTAAAATCAAAAGAAGGGAAATAATTCAGGTATTATCAAATATTTAGTAAACAATGAGTTACTTCCCTTTGATGCAAAAGAAATGGTTCATAATTTGCACTCATTGTTACAACATATAAATAAGTACATGAACCAATGCACAAGCATTTTTCATATTAAACTGGTTTTGTACATCCATTGTTTGCTCGAATTATTTGAGCTGTATATAATAAGGGTTTTCATATTTGAAAATCAGTTTCGAGCAAGCAACACATTGTGACAACTTTTTCAAATTGAAATTCATTGCCAAAACACAAGTGTTATATGACATCACTTATTATTTTGTGATAAGTACAATTTTAAATGTGTTCAAGTTTTGCAATATTTTTGGATAGCTATAATTCATTTTAACATACTACATAAAACAAATTGTTAAAATATAATGCAAACATATGAAGTTTTGTAGAAAATAAGATGATGCAGATCTATGGAAATAAATTTTTTTTTTCATTTTCAGTATTGCATCACATTTGATATATTTTGTAATTATAGAGCTATTTGCTACAGATACATTATATAAATAGGTTACTGTATGTTTAAGTGCTAATTGACTGTTGTACAATGACCTACTTTCCAATAAAAATTCACCTAAATGGCTAAAACTCTGTGGAAATTGCATGGAGGAAAAAACTCTGTGAAAATTGCATGGAGGTAAAACTCTATGGAAATTGCATGGCAGTTAATTATCATCACTTTGTGCTTTAAATTTAACCATTTAATGGCATCACTGCTGACATGTTTTGGGTCTATACATAATAGTGAAAGCTACCATAACAGCGAAGTACAATACATGCATGAGTAGTTACAGATAAGTGTAAGAACTGTATAATAGAATTAAACTTAAATAACAGAAACACAGTTTTAAATAACAGAAAGCCACAAGACAGCGCGCTCCAGTAGTTTCAGTGCTTGACAGTTAGAAAAGGGTCATAACTTTGTAAAAAGGTAGCTCCGTGTTGGATCTTTTCAAAAGTTTCACCCCATTCTTTGAAGTATTTTTTTTTGCACTCAAAATCTTAAGGTAACAGGAGTATTATAGCTCTCTCTATTCTTCGAATAGTTGAGTATCACAATTCATTCTGTATCATATGCCTAAAACATTATTTAAGCTTGACTTCCAAGTCATGCAATTCTGTAAAACTCTGAAATATGTTTTAACTGTACGGTTCAAAGAAGGAAATAAATATATACATACGGTTGACAGCCTACTGACTTGAGATGAAAGAATAATTCTGGTTCATGCGTTTGTAGTAGTGTCTCAAATAACAGACTCAAGCATAAAATACCCTGAAATTTAAGACAACAGTATCTCAAATAACTCAAGAATAAAATGCCCTGAAATATAAGACATTGTCTCAAATAACTAAAAAAAGAATAAAATGCCAGTGTGTCAAATAACCAACTCAAGAATAAAATGCCCTGAAATGTTAGACACTGTTTCTCAAATAACAGACATATGCATAAATTCTCTGAGATATAAGATACAGTGTCTCAAATAACAAACTCAAAAAGAAAATGCCCTGAAATATAAATAATTGTCTTTTCAGCGCCAGTCATTTTGCTCACATATTGAAACAAGAGGGCCATGATGGCCCTGAGGTCGCTCACCTGTATATAGGCCCCCCCAACCCCCACCCAAACGTTGCAGGGCCAATTTAACCAAAGGGCTTTTATTTGCACAAACTTGGTAGACACCCATAAGAAGATGTTTCATGCTAAACATCTAAGCTCTAGCTCATTGGGCTATTTAAAAGAAGATTTTTTTTATTAAGTTTTTACTATACACATACAGTTAAAAACAATGACACCCCTGGGGCCGGGCCAGTTATGACCCCAGGGTTTTTATTTGAACAAACTTTGTAGACACTTACTAGAATATGTTTCATGCTTAATATCTAAACTCTAGCTATTTGGGTTTTTTCAAAAAAGATTTTTTAAGTTTTTACTATATGCATATATAGGGAAAATCAATGACCCCCGGGGCGGGGTCAATTTTGACCCCAGGGCTTTTATTTGAACAAACTTGGTAGACACTTATTAGAACATGTTTCATGCTAAATATCTTAGCTCTAACTCTTTTGGTTCTTTAAAAGATGATTTTTTAAGTTTTTACTATATGCATATAGGGAAAATCAATGACCCCCTGGGGCGGGGCCAATTTTGACCCCAGGGCTTTTCTTTGAACAAACTTGGTAGACACCTATTAGAACATGTTTGATGCTCAATATCTTAGCCATAGCTCTTTGAGTTCTTTAAAAGAAGATTTTTTAAGTTTTTACTATATGCATATAGGGAAAATCAATGACACCCCGGGGCGGGGCCAATTTTGACCCCAGGGCTTTTATTTGACCCCAGGGCTTTTATTTGAACAAACTTGGTAGACACTCACTAGAAGATGTTTCATGCCAAATATCTAAGCTCTAGCTCTTATGGTTTTTTTTAAAGAAGATATTTAAAGTTTTTTCTTTCGGTTGCCATGGCAACCAGAGTTCTGCATGGAATTAAATTCTTTGAACAATTTTTAAAGGTGACCACCAAAGGAACATTCCTGTGAAGTTTGGATGAAATTGGCCTTGTGGTTTATGAGGAGATGTCATTTAAAGTAAAAGTTTACAGACGACGGACGATGGACGGACGACGGACGAAAAGCGATCACAAAAGCTCACCCTGTCACTTTGTGACAGGTGAGCTAAAAAGGGTTAGTGCAACATTTTTCATGCATAAACAAGCATGCATTTAATGCCCTAAGGGCATGGTCTTTGATAAGTCAGATGGCTTCTGCAGATGTTTTTGCAAAAGAAAGTGCATTAGTGCTACTCTTGCATAATAGAAAATGTCTGATATGGTAATTTTGAGTTTCTTCATTTGTTTTTCATAAAGAAAAACCAGTTTCATAGTGTGATGTCATATAACACTTGTGTTTTGGTAATGACCAAGCCCGTCACATACAAGGCTGAGTGAGTTAGCTATACATGGCAACCTGGGTCATGCATATTAAAGAGACATGCAACAATGTTTGAAACAAATGATAGTGTAATAATGATATCAATAGATCTAGAAACCAATGATAATGTAAAATTTATATATCAATAGAAACCAATGGCCATGTAAAAGTAATATCAAAATTAAATATTTTGTAAGTCTCTAGAATAATATGTCAGTATTATATTTGCATTTAAAAATGAATATATATATATCCTGTGATCAACAAAAAATTTTTTAATGGAAAATGGTGGGGTGGGGTTAATCCTCTCTGATGTCATTTTCAAAAATATTTGCTTACCTAGCTCTATATGACAAGAACATTCATTCTCCTAACAAACTCACCTCTTCAATACAAAATCTCCATTCTAAGATTAAGGACCATTTCTCATAATATAAGTCTATGGGAAAATCACTATGATAGTCTCACCTGTGTTGTTACCAGCAATTTCATCTAATTAATATCATTATATTATGAGATATAAAAACAATACCTGTGGATGAGATGATATACTATGAAGCCGGAAGAAATATCTTGTGTAGATTTCCCTGAACACATAATACAACTTGACTGGTTCCTTGTATAGGTAACACAGAGGTGCCACTATAAATATAATAATGTGAAACTTAAGTCTGCTGACAAAAATCCATGGACAAGTATAACTGCATTACTTAAAGCTGCACACCTCCAAGTTCATGCTAACTTTTTTTATGAAAATTTTATGTATTTAAAAGTGAAATATTGTGAAGGGAACAAGGAAAGTAATTTAAACATTGCAAAAGGTGTTTACAATCCATGTACGAGGGTTGTCCAAAAAGTTCGTGCACTACAGTTGTTGTCGTGAGAGTTTTTAATAAAAACAAATGAATTATATATCAATTGAAGGGGAAATCTGTCTCGAATAAGAAAAGAAAAGAAAAAGCCGGCTAAACGGCGTGTCGTGTAAAAGAATGGCCAGTAAGTTACCTTAGTAACGTAATACCGGCGCACGACAAAAATTGGGTTAGTTCATTACTGTAATTGTATTAATTGTTTGTTGCTTGTAAAGTGGTATTTGCTTTTTATGTTATAATTTGTTTTACTGTCAAAAGAGGAATGATTGATGCAAAGTATTTTGTAGTTTTTATTGTTCTTATGCAACGGACATGTAACATATCCCACCAGTGAACGAATATATTGGACAACCCTCGTCACATAGTCCGGCATTACGGACGGACGTCTGCCTGACCGACTGTCATCGTCTACCGACTCTAGCCCTTCTACAGAGCGTTTGTGCCATTCAAAAAAACCAGTCTTCGTAACACGGATCTTGTCCCCGATTGCCCTTTTAAGTTCTTTGTAGGTATCTGTTTGTGTTTTACCAATATTTGCACAAAATTTAATGATCGTCCGTATTTCCAGACGTTTAGCGACTGACATTTTCACGTAATTACAATATTGACGACCTCACACAAATGTTTGTTTACGACCGTTACAGTAGGGCAAATGACGTCAAATTTTCTAGTGACGGTAGGAATACGTACACATACTTTTCGACGAATTTTAACGTTTATATGTAGTGTTTAAAGAATACCGCGATGCATCAAACTAATGAACTAACCCAATTTTTTGTCGTGCGCCGGTATTACGTTACCAAGGTAACTGTATGACGGTTCGTTTTCACGACATGCCGGTTACACGTTTTTTTCTGTTGTTTTCTCAATTGAGACAGATCTCCCCTTCAAGTGATATATAATTAATGTTTTTCTATCAATAACTCTCACGACATTAACTGCAGTGCACGAATTTTTTGGACAGCCCTTGTATTTTATCAATAAGGTGTCTAAATAGGCAAAAGTAGCCCTTACTGCAAAATCTGTCATTTATAATCTCACATGATATATAAATCATAAATTGAAATAATTTGGCTCATCTACAGGCATCAGCTATAAGTACAACAACTTATTATACAGAACAAGCCATTGGACAAATCTGTCAACATATCTGATGTCATGTGATTAATCATCCATGGTTAGATTGTCTACTAGTTTAGGATAAAACCCATTTTCTAATTAAGTATGCAATCTGTTAAAAGGGAACTTGTATTACAATGTTAAGCAAATACATGAATGATATGCCACCAGATACTGGATTGGTATATGAACTCAAACCATGTTTAGAAAGTCCATGGAAGAGTAAGACATCATTTGGTAGCCATAAAAACTTACAATTCATAGGGAATAAAATTTTTAATTAGGTATGATATTGTCAAGTTTGATTGGTTATTATGCTGATCATTTTAAAACATTTCTGGTCATATCTCAGCAATCGGTCCATTTAACCGGCTTTACTGGATAACTAACCATTAATTACCAATTTCTCCACCAATGACCGAATATTAATCCCACATGATTTCTGAGTCAGCAGTGAGAGACATATGAACATTATACTCAATGTTCAAGATCAACTGTCACAGAGAAATTTCCATGCACCAAATGATCCATCAGCAATTGCTTAAAATACAAATCAAGATGCTCTCTCTTTTGAGCTTTGCAGGTGAAATAATATAGGAAATGCATGGAAAGGTTATACACACCTTGGAAGGTATATAAATCTCTGGAAAGTTTATAGTCACCCCTTGGAGGGTATACATATCTATGGAAAGATTACACAACCCTTGGAGGGTATATAAATCTATGGAAAGCCTCAATGGTATTATTACCATTCGATTGATGAACACGTTTCCTCATATGATACCAGTACAGGTTTGTTCCATGAAGCACACTGAAGAATGGTTCATATAATATTCAGACTTTATTCATCAAATATGCTTAATCTTATGGTGTACATATATATTCTTACCATACATAGCAAATCCATGGAATGGAATGACACCATTTGGTGGGTATATCACAGCAAATTCCTCTACACCTAGTTTGCCACGTATGTATGATTTGGGGGGAGAGGCACTATTGTGGCTAAAATGTTTGAGCATTTCTGTATCTCTTGTAAAAGGTAATAAAATCTGAAAAAAATTAAAGAAAATAACCTTACTTAAAATTTTTATAACAATCTTATTTAAATACCTTTTTTTTCATAATTTTGTTCATTTAAGAAAGCACATTATATAATGCTACCACAAAATTCTCTAAAGGTAAAATCCTTTATGTTGCATCAAAGTCAATGCTTTTTCAGCGTTTCTTTATAACCCAATTCCTAAATTTAGCATCTTTTCTGATTGAATAAAAATCTTAGGGCATTAATGCATTCTTGATGCTGCAAATCAATTCTTCAATTTGTCTTAATCTATGGAATTTCCTCAAGGCAGTGACATTATATCCAATTGGGGAAAACAAGTTGGGAAACATCTGGGAATCATTAAAGCAAATTTCAAACACCACATAACTTGAAAATAAATAAATCTGGTTTCACAATCGGGTTAAATCAGCATGTCTCCAGATTCAAGCTAGTTTTAACGAAATTTTTGAAAATGTATTTAAAAGTAAAATATTCTGAAGTGAACAAAGAAAGTAATTTACACATTGCAAGCAGTCAGCACTAACAAAGCACATAGATGGCCAAAAATAGGTCAAAATATGCAAAGCTAACCATTACTGCATTAGAAGTTCAGTGAATACAGCAAAATCAGTGTATAATCAAACATCACTTGTAAATTATTTCGTGAATCTTGAATCTTTTTTTGCTTTTCTTAAAATCTTAGTACATTTTTCTCAAGTTTGATTTTATTGAAATATTTTGGCTCATATGGAGGCATGCACCTTTAAAGTAAAATTTTACCTGATAAAGATAGTCTTCAAACACAAAATACTGATCATCATTTGTAGCTGTTAATTTTACATCCTGTGAACAAAAGTAACATTAAATTAGTCCTTAAAATAGGAAATGACAACAAAATTGATTCACATATTGTATGGCTTCAAGGAACTTTAATGGTTCACAATGTGGAAGTATGCAGACTGGCTACCATGGCTCTATGCCTGTTACAAAGGCAAACCAAGTATGGTCCCAGCAGGCTAAGGGTTTAGACTACACATAGGCTATGTTATAACCATATCTCCAATTTTTTTACATTATCTTTTCAGAACCTGGAAAACACCAATGATGTGGCAATTGTGTGACTCAGTGCGATTAACTGTAAGGAATGTATTATAATGCTCAGTGGAACAGTTTGTGTTTTTTATGGAAATCATCAAGTAGAAATCAACTGAGAAGTTGCAAGGACATTCTTAGAATTTTAAACACATCAGTAACAGGCTACAAGGGTAAATCTTCGGCATGAAGATGCCAATCTGGTAAACTTAATATTCCCAATGCTTTTTTTCATGTTTTCATCATGCTATATATTTCACATATCAAGTATATGTCAAATAAAGAATATCTTAAAATACCCTTTGATAGTTTCTAAGTAAATTTGTCTCAAAGTAAACTAAAAATGCATAATTTGTCATTAATTTTATTCCTGGCTCCGTTTTTGTGAGGAATGGTATTGTCTTAAGCCAAATCGCAATTTTCAAGCTTTCCCAGTGAAAGAAGATGTCATACGTTCCTCCCTGTATTTTTTTTTTCAGGCACAAGCCGGGCACCTGAGTAAAGCCACCAAACTTTTGAAAGGTACTTAGTTTCCACACATAACAAAATCTCAAGCTGCCGGCATGATCTAAAGGAACAGAAACAAGAATGCCATAACTTTATATTTGACATTATTATTTACCTTGTACAGTAGACTGTCAACAAGTAAATCATGTGCTATAACATTTGCTTTTAGTTGTTCATAATAGAGAGTATCCTGAAAATGAAAGAAAAATGTTGTGATACAAAGGCTAAAGAGGGTCAGAAAATGAAACATCCCCAATGCTTTATGACAATGTCACAGAACAAGAGCTGTCAGGAATACAGCCTGCTCAACTATTTTCAGTTCTTCATAGTAAAAACAAACTTGGATAATGTAGAGTGTTTTAAGATATGTAAAATCTAGAATTAAATAGAACAATTATTTTGTAAAAATCTATTTGAGAGTAATGGGCCCTATTATGCTCTCAAATAAGAGTGTGAAGTTTCAACACATTCTCTCCAATAGTTAACAACTTGCTTGTAAAAAAACAAAAGTTTCACGCCAAGAATAGTACAAAAGCTCCCACTAGTTTTCAAATTGTCGAGCTTAAAATAGGCTATTAAAATAAAATATCACTGTATATGTACTTTATTACATTCTTATTCACATCACCATATATGTACTTTATTACATTCTTATTCACACCTTTGTAATTCAAACTGCAAAGCTCATGGTATATGTTATTGTCTTAAATGTAATTATGCCTACATAAAGTGCAAATAATTTTTTTTAAAGAATTATTGCGTAGAAATATTGAATGATTACGGAAGGCAATGAATAGCTCCCTAGAAATATTCACAAATCAACCTTCATATATGGATCAGCAGTCCATGGTATGAGATGTTCAGAGTGATATGTACTTACAAATTCATCAAGTTCAATCCCTAATATAAGACACCACAATTCTGCTCTCAGACTAATAGGGCAACCTTTTTTAGCGTATTCTTGAGCCAAGGGGCCATGGTCACCAGATATCACTGAAATAGTTAATAAGATAAAGAAATAGCAAGAGACTGAAATGAAATTAAAGACAAAAACATGAATTAATAATGAAAAATTGTGAATGAAATAAAATGTGATAAATAAAATTATTGATTTTGTATGCTTATATTCATACAAACAAGAAGCTCTGCAATGCGACGAAAACCAGGCTTTCAACCACCATGCATTGATGTGGCAGGAATTGAGAATGAAATATAATCCCAAGTTGCCTCTTGATATAAGCTACCCACATACTTAAACTGGACAGCTGAAATCGGAAAGGAGTCTTGTTATAATTATTGAGATATTTAATTTAATTAAATGAAACCTGACTCTTCTAAAATCATACAATTTATCAGCTTAAACATAATTAAGACCATATGGTATCTTCATTATTTTTAGACTGGGGATTATGAAGAATAGACAATGGACAAAAAAGAAACTCTCTTGCTTAACAGGTGGAAGAAGAGCTCAGGTGCCAACCGAATAAGGAAATAAAGGCATGAAAAGCAAGCCAAGTAGAACCTGGCCTTCTGTAGGCAATTTGCTAGCTTCCTTACATAACATAATCCTTAGTCACTTCCAGTTTCTATATTAAGCAAGTAATTCCAGCTTTAAGTAAGCAAATTTTACCACTAAGAAATGAAAACGGTAAGACAACAATGGGTATAGGGGTGTGTTGCAAACAGTTCCGTATATTTAGTATATGTAAACAAAAAAGATACTATAACATATGTTTACTTCATAATCTCAATTTTCAGTTGATTGCATGTTAGATTCAATAAAACATATCATAATTATATCAATTGTACCTTTTTTGCCAAGTTTAACTCGGTCACTATCAAACATTTCTGGTGGTATATCACCACTGTCATCCACTCCCGTCTGGCACTGATTGATGGCCATATCACTGTATAATATACGCTGAAAATAGACAAGACTGAATGAAGAAGATTCTCCTATAGCAAATCTTTTCCATTCACAAAACTCAAAATAAGTCTGACAAGAATTGAGCCGTGTCATGACAAAACCAACGTAATGCGTTTGCGACCAGCATGGATCCAGACCAGCCTGCGCATCCACACAGTCTGATCAGGATCCATGCTGTTCACTTACAAACCCTATTACAAGTAGAGAAACTGATAGCGAACAGTATTGATCCTGATCAGACTGTACGGATGCGCAGGCTGGTCTGGATCCATGCTGGTCGCAAACCCACTATGTTGGTTTTGTCATGACACTGCTCAATTATTGATGGACAGTGTGCTCAACTTTCCACAATGCTTGGATAGAAAAGCAAGGGTAATGCAGTCCACAAAGGGAAATAATCAAATAAAAGTTATGCTTGAGTTATGTGTCTTTGACAATGACATTGCAGACAAATATTAAGTGCAATACAGGCACAGTTCATACCATGTAAAGCTATGGGTCTATATCATTTTAATTGACATAAAAATTTTCAAGCGAATATGTTGCAATTGTCAGTTTCCCACAGCATATATTCTGTACATAAAACATCATTATATGTAGTATTTACAGAATATAAACGGTGGGTAAACTAACAATGATTATTATGTTGTTTTTGTAAATGTGACATGAATTTTTGCACACAACAACAAAAAAATGTACGTCACAGGAGAAAACCCTAGTTAAAATAATATCCCGAAAAAGGCTTCTTCTTTGCTATCAAAGAAACAAGATGAAGATTTTACCAAGCCAAATTAATAGATGCTGCTTTCAAAAGAAAAGACAAATTAATATCTGTATAAAAAAAAATTAACAACATACTCTTGGCTGTGAGAAAAACTCTTAAACTACAAGTCAAAGCTCCACTTACCAGTCTGTTAATATCATTGATCTTGAGTGGTAACTGGACAAGACCCCATAATGTGTATGTTCTGTTAAAAAACATACAATTTACATGCAATAAGAGTGCTTACAGTTCTTTAACAAAAGTTTAATATTGAAAATAATATTAAAAATAATCAAATACAGAAAAATCATCCAAATTGTATTATATATAATATCAAGCACTGTCCTCTAATAGATCATAATATCCAAATTGACAAGTCTGCATTACATGACATCATATGGATGATGTCAAACCTGAACATGTCAACATTAGTTGACATCACATAATTATGTGATGCAAAAATTAGCTGAAAATTTGTATTACTGTAACATTGATATAATATTGTGTGATCAGACAATTTCATAACTCACTACTTTATTTTACATTATATGATAAGAATTTAAATGTGATAAGTAAAATTGCATACTTCAACATTATGTGATGTGAACAATGCATTGTTAAATTTCTTCATCAATATTTTTTGCTATGATTAAATGCATCATAGTCATAGACGTAATTGGAATCAACAGCAAGAAACTGGAATCATGATTGAGTGATAAAGGAATCCTGTGAATAACATAGGAATCCATTGTATGATATAGAAATCCACTGCATTTGGAATCCATTTAGTTATCCATTTGAATTCATTGCAAAATATTTGAATCCATTGCATAATATTGAACTGTACTGTATCCGAATGGAATGCATTGCATGATTTAACATTAAAACATAGGATAAAATTACTTCATGGTTCATTTTTTTTCATGGCATCACATAAACGTTAACATAAAAGACAGACTTTTTTGTTGGGTTTTATGACATATCTACACAGTTTAGGTCATATGGCAACTTTCCTGCTTTACTGGTGAAGGAAGACCTTTATACATTAGTCCAGGGCTCATCCGGAAGGGCGATTCAGGCGAAAACTTCGCTGTGTATATTTCCATTTCGCTCTCCCGATTGATCAAAGAGAAGTCAACATCGCCGATAAAATCTTAATTCCCAAAGACTAATTACTTGGCGATGTAAGAGCAAAGATTGTATCCGCCCATATGACGACTGCTAATTATCATTATCCAATCAGAGCGTCGCTTTATACTACCCTTCTACCTGTATGCAAAGCGATAGACCGCCTACTCTAAACAGTAAATAATGAGAGCATCGGCACGAAACGGGTATAATTGTGTGCCAAATACGGGATTAGGCAATAATTATAGATTGTTTTTTCCCCGATCATCTAAACACGTGCATATCTTCCCTAATTGATATACACACGGTGTTTAACCCTAGTAACGGCGATGTGCAATGGGTTTTTCACGGCTATCACAAAACTGTTAGTCAATTAAAAATAATCAATTTCATTAATGATCAGCGACCGGATTAAAAACTTAGATATAGTTTTGAATGATTTCAGTCCGTGAACATGAATTAAAAATTGTTATGTCGCTCACATCATGGCTACAGGGCGAAATGCCCAAATCTAGCAGTTAAAGAAAGTTGCTGATTCTGATACACCTACGCGAAAATTTAAGAAAGCCAATTCGCAAAAATCTTACGATTGATATTTTATAAACAGTGAGAGTGTTTGACATTGTTATCTTTGTAGAAATGCCAAATTTGACACAGCTTTTCATGAAAATAAAGGGAGGTAATAAGAAATTTATTTTCTATAATTTCTCAGTCAAATTTTTCAATAAGAAATGAATGTATATAATTTTAGTGATCAAATATAATGTGCACAAATGTTTGCAGTACATATTTTACATATTCTTCGATGTTTGAAAATTGTTTTATAAGCATAATTATATCTACATAAATATGACAGTACAACATACTAGATAATAAAAGAATTTCTGTAATCAATCTAACAAAATAGACAAATGTTGTTAAGCAATATCCAATGTAACTATATCCTCTAGTAAAAGTGAGGAAAGTAATAATATAAAATTAATTTATTCATCCTTTTTCTTACACATTATTATCAATAAAAATATATAAACAAATATTTAGAGAAAGCTTATAAATAGCTTATAAATAGATTAATTGTGTTTATATTATAGTGAAAGGATGTATAGCCATGCTTGTTAATGCATACACATTGGGTTGTTTCCCTTCTCCCTATTTTTCGCGAGGAAGCCACTTCTCCCTAAAATTTCCCCCCAGGATGAGCCCTGCATTACTGAAGGTCAAAATGATAAATGGCTTTCCTTAAGCTAGCTGGATAGTTTTCTAATAATGTAGAATCTGATGACAAATGAGAGACTCAAACCTATAGTAGTGAGAGGCATGTGGTTTTAAGTCAACAACCTTAACCATGCGGCCAGACTTTTTGGTCATTACATGATGTATTTGAAAAGCATTATAATTTAAAATTTCCAGGATGATACAATGTCATATATTTACGTTGGAAACTGTAAGGAATATTAGGCATTGAACAATATCACATTTTGTTATGTAGATAATGGAAGAATAACAATCATATCCTATGGTGTTTATTGTTTGTTTTGTTTGATTGGGTTTTATGTCACACCGACACAGAATAGGTCATACTGCAACGTTTTTTTTGTTTGTTTGTTTCCTTTTACGCCTTTTACTAACAGTATTTCAGTCATATAGGTGGGTAGTTTCCTAACCATCGTTCCTGGAGAGTAACACCAGTACTAGACTACCTTCCTCCGCACTAAACTACCAAAGAATATCCAGGGGATCGAACCCACGCCAGAGAGGTAACTGGATTAGAAGTCATCGACTCTAACATCTTGACCACGGAGGTGGTACTGGTGGAGGAAGACCCTATAATGTTTAATTAAAACTAAGGATCCATATCTTGGTAACAGTATCCAATTTGAGAAAACACATAATTATATATCTTCGGATAAGAAATTTTGACTTAAGCAAGGACAGGAGAGTAGAAAGAAGTTGTACCATAATCAAACCTATATTTTATGCCCTTTTTTGTCTATTGTTTATACTTTTCAATTAAGGTCAAGCCTAACTTAAGTCTAAAATTTTTCATACATAATATTCAAGTTGTAGTCATTTGTGAGGTAAGTGTGTGTTAGCAAGGTGTTTCAGGTTTATGAACATCAAACTGTGTACAATTCATAAGTATAACATAAATTAAAGCATTCATAAAATGTAATAATTATCATAATGCACATCAAATCACTTACAGATGCAGATCTACCCCAATTCTTCTAAAAAATACAATGTTAACCAAAGAATGTAAACCATAAGGTTGATCGTATATTTCTTTACATGAATACTGTATAAAGGAAATGTGTAACACTTAATTTTCAAATGCCAATTGTAAACCAGACTGGCAATGGATGGAAAAAATGGCAAGGTGATTAAGGTGTCCGCCTCTTAATCAAGGGACGGCTGTGCTTTGGTCTTGACTATGTTTTTTATATGGCACCAGTACTCATATTCTCATACACCAGTATTGACTAGTTTCTTCATATGGTACCAGCACTGGTTTCTCATTATACATTGTATGGCAACAGCACTGGTTAGTTCATCATAAAAGGGCACCAGTACTGGTAAGTAAGTTCCTCATATGGCACCAGCAATGGTTAGTAACTCATTTTGTACCAGCACTGGTAAGTTCCTCATATGATACCAGCACTTGATAGTTCCTCATATCGCATCAGTACTGGTTAGTTCATCATAAGTAAGGTACCAACACTGGTTAGTTCCTCATATTGTACCAGCACTGATTAGTTCCTCATATGGTACCAGCACTGGTTATTTCATTATATGGCACTTGAGCACTGATAAGTTCCTCATATGGTTACAGCATTGGTACCAGTACTGGTTAGTAATACCAGCACTGGTAAATTCATTATATGACTCTAGCACTGGTTAGTTCTTCATATGGTACCAGCATTGGTCAGTTCCTCATATGGTACCAGCACTGGTTAGTTCCACACATGGCACCATTACTGGTTATTTCCTCATATTGCACCTGCACTGGTTAATTCATTATACATGTATGGCACTAGCACTGGTTAGCTCCTCATATGGTACCAGCATTGGTTAGTTCCACATATGGTACCAGCACTGGTTATTTCCTCATAATTATAATACCAGCACTGGTTAGTTCCAAACATGGCACCAATACTGGTTACTTCCTCACATTTTACCAGCACTGGTAAGTTCCTCATATGGTAAGAGCACATGTTAGTTCCTTATATGGTGCCAGCACTGGTTATTTCCTCATATGGCTCCATTCATGCCATTACTGCTTAGCTCCTCATATGGTACCAGTACTGGTGAGTTCCTCATATGGTAACAACACTGCTTAGCTCCTCATATGGCACCAGCAATGGTTAGGTCCTAATATGGATCCAGTGCTGCTTAGTTCCTCATATGGTACCAGTACTGGTTTGTTCCTCATATGGCACCAGCACTGGTTATTTCATCATAATTATGATACCAACACCGGTAAGTTCCTTATATGGCACCTGCACTGGTCAGTTCCTTATATGGTACCAGCATTGGTTAGTTCATCATATGGTACCAGCACTGGTTATTTCCTCATGTGGCACCAGTACTGGTTAGTTCCACATATGACACCAGTATTGGTTAGTTCTGCACATGGCACCAGAACTGGTTAGTTCCTCATATGGTACCAGTACTGGTTAGTTCCTCATATGATACCAGCACTGGTTAGTTCTACATATGGCACCAGAACTGGTTAGTTCCACACATAACACCAGTACTGGTTAGTTCCGCATATGGTTCCAGCACTGGTTAGTTCCTCATATGGTTCCAGCACTGGTTAGTTCCACACATGGTACCAGTACTGGTAAGTTCCCAATATGGCACCAGTACTGGTTAGTTCCTTATATGGCACCAGTACTGGTTAGTTCCACATATGGCACCAGTACTGGTTAGTTCCACACATGGCACCAGAACTGGTTAGTTCCTCATATGGTACTTGCACTGGTTAGTTCCTCATATGGCACCAGCACTGGTAAGTTCTACACATGGCACCAGTACTGGTTAGTTCCCTATATGGTACCAGTACTGGTTAGTTCCACACATGGCACCAGTACTGATTAGTTCCTCATATGGTACTTGCACTGGTTAGTTCCACATATGGCACCAGCACTGGTAAGTTCTACACATGGCACCAGTACTGGTTAGTTCCTTATATGGTACCAGTACTGGTTAGTTCCTCATATTCTACCAATACTGGTGAGTTCATCATATGGCAACAGTACTGGTTAGTTTGTCATATGGCACCAGTACTGATAAGTTCCTTTTATTGCACCAGTACTGGTTAGTTCCTCGTATGCTTCCAGCAATACTTAGTTCATCATAAGGCACCAGTACTGATAAGTTCCTTCTATTACACCAGTTCTAGTTAGTTGCATATATGGTGCCCTTACAGGTAAGTTTGATTTATGGCACCAGTACCAGTAAATTCCTTATATAACACAAGTCATGGTATTTTCTAGAATGTAGATTCTAAAGTGTTTTAGATACACTACCAGCTTTTATCACAACTAAGCTGGCATTAATATGTTTAAATAAATTAAAATAGAGGACATATTGCAAATGACCCCACATTCAGCCGTTTTAGCAGTCTGAAGGAAGTAAAAGAGCAAATCTACAAATATGCCCCTTCCCTTCAATGTATAGTCATAAAAAGCCTTCACTTTAGTCAGACTCAGGCAGCCAAAAATAACTTCATATCTTGACAAATCGCAATACCTTAATCAAGTTGTCAAGTGCACAATTGGTTTTGTTTGTTTGATTGGATTTTATGTCACACCGACACAGTATAGGTCATTTGGCGATGTTCCAGCTTTACTGGTGGAGGCACCTGAACAGGCACCTGAGTAGAACCACCGACGTTCCGTAAGCTAGCGCACAATTGGTAACTTGAAATAACTTCAAAATAACAACAATCCCCCCCCCCAAAAAAAACAACAAAAACAACAAAAAACAAGCAATAGGATTGTATTACCAAATTGTCATAATGTCTGGCCATAGGATGGAATTACTATTTCAATTTCTTGCACTTTTCAGCTACTTTATTTACATGAATAGCTTTGTTTTTTGGAGTTTTTTTCTTTAGAAAGTCTAGACTTTTCATTATAAACACATACACATAGACACTTTTAATCTTCATCTATCATTTGCACCCATCAAAACTAATAATCTGATGTCTTCAAAGTGCACAAAACTGAGAAAACACTATAATCATCTTTCACCTTTAACTTGGCCAGACACTTGTCATGTGATCATATAAACACTTCAAACCTCCTGTATTTGAAAAGCTTAACTTACATTTTATTTGATAATAACTCATATCATTTTCAAATACACAAAACAGTGTCTTAATTGTTTTGTTTTGTTAGGTGTTTAATCACACTGTCAAGGTCATATTGCAACTTCCAAGCTTTTTACTGGTGGAGAAAGACCTCAGTTTTCCCTTTAAGTCTTATTTCAGTTTCAAGAAAATTTAACTCCTAAAAACTCTTATGTTGAATTTTAGTCTAAGGTCAATAATGTCTAAAGGTTTTTTTAAGAACCATGTACAGTACAAGACCTTTGGGTAAAGAAAGGTTTATATTATAGATAACATCCACTTGCCCCTCACTGCTGACACTGGGTTCGAATCCGGACAAGGACTATGGATTCTTTCATATGAGGAAGCTATCCAGCTAGAGTTACACCAGTACTAGACTACCTTCCTCCGCGCTAAACTACCAAAGCATCTCCCGGGGATTGAACCCACGCCAGAGAGGTAACTGGATTAGAAGTCATCAACTCTGACCCCTCAACCATGGAGGCGGGTACTACTCAGATGCATTTTGTGCCTGAAATAATGCACAGAAGGACACCTGAGGTCTTCTTCCACCAGTAAAGCTGGAATGTCTCCAAACCACCTATATTGTGTCAGTGTGATGTAAAACCCAACCAAACAAACAAACTATACATACAATACATACCCACTGGAATCCCCTGCATTGTAATTTGGGTTTTGTAGACACATAATTACTTCAAGAAAGTCTTTTGGAGCGTACACTGGTCGAATTTGACTTAAGTCTATAAAATAGGAAAATAACAATTAGTGTCACTTTTCATTTTAAACTAAAACTTGACAATTCTGTCTTTTTTGTATATCTTAAAAGGTTCTGTACATACAGGGTATGTACATGAACAACAATATACAGTAGAACTTCGGTAAGTCGAAGTTCAAGGGACTTTGGTAAAAACTTCGACACATCGGGACTTCGACTCATGAATCGCTCTCAATTCCATGACAAAATTTCGACCCGTGACTAGTGCTAATCATAAGATCTATAACGAAACCTTTTTCATGTTTTTCAATCATTAATCAGATATTTTACATTTAACTATGATAAATATAGCATGTTAGATAACGTTTTTCACGGCTTATTATTTTGACTACCCGTTGACGTATACAATAGAGTTACAAAAGGCGTAACAGTAAGAAAGGGCGATATATAAACCGGCTTATAGTAAATATTTCGCGTGTTATTCTCACGCAACACCGGGTCATGGATGTTTTCAAATGAAAGTAGTTCTTACTGTTTACTTTCAAATACCACTACGGCAATTAAAATAGTAACGATGAAAGCATTTTATCACACATTTTACCGCAAACAAAGGCTGTTTGAACACACGGATGTGTTGTTGACACCTGTCACAGCCAGATAAGGTGTGAAAAATGTCTCGAGATCGAAGGTGTCAAAATAATCGAAAGACTTCGACTTATTTGTGGTAAATTGCACTAGATTTACTTTATACGGACCACGAAAAAACTTCGACACATCGAACAATTCGACACATAAAATCTCGACTCATAAATAGGTTTTTATAAGGAATATATAGGGGAAAAAATCGGGACTTTCATTTTTCTTCGACACATCGAGAAAATCGACTAATCGAAGTTCATCTCATAGAAGTTCTACTGTATTAGTTTAAATATTAACCCAATAACCTGTAAATTTACTTAATTTAGGCAGACTTTTACTCGTTATATTGGTATAAATTTAGTTATCAACTCCTAGCATTAAGTAACTATTTGTTTACATGTTTAGTTTTTTAGCATAGGCTAGTCTGAAATACCGCATCCGTTCTTTGTATTCTTACTATTGCGTTCAAGGTCCTTATCTGACTGACAGAAAGGACCAAAAAAATACAATTGCTCTTACAAGAATAAACCCTACCTAATATTGATGAAATCAGCCAATAGCAGCTTAACTGTTATCAACAATCAAAAAACACAGATGTAAATAGTAAGAATTTTAGGCCCTAGTATAATGAATTTTTATAAGGAATATCTAATTATAGCTTTTACACATATAAATATACAGACTTTATTTAAGATTATACAATATCTTACCTGGTCCATCAGTTCCAAGTTCAGTCCATCTAGAATTCAGGTCTTTCTGCTCTTTTTCTGGTCTCTAAAAATACAACAAACTACTATTTAGGTCTCTCAAATATATGAAAGAAAATCATTTTAATCATGGTCAAAGAATATATTAAAGTTTCTTAAAGGCCCATTATGCCAAAGAAATGCTTTAATGTTCATTTTTCAAAAGCTTTTAATTTTCGGTGTACTTTTACAATTTCCAAAGTTACTCATTAACCAGTTATCTTCACCATCTTGATCTTCTGTTGTTTTTTTACAATACGTACAGTTATAGTGACTTAGTATTTTGTAACAATGTCAAATACTACTTTGTATACTCTTTGTTTGTTTGTTTCATTTTACGCCTTTTCCCAACAGTATTTCAGTCATATAGGCGGGTAGTTTCCTAACCCTCGTTCCTGGAGACTTACACCAGTACTAGACTACCTTCCTCCGTGCTAAACTACCAAAGCATCTCCCGGGGATCAAACCCACGCCAGAGAGTTAACTGGATTAGAAGTCACCGACTCTAACCCCTCGACCATGGAGGCGGTTATACGGTTTGCTAATTTATGACAACTTGACAAGCATCTAAAACGTTACTTCCATCAGGAAACAAACATCTAATATGCTCTAAAACAATTACTTAAATTAAGTAAACTAAACTAAAGTTTACCCTTTCAAAGTAGTAAAAATCATTTGTTTCTTAGGCATAATGTGCCGTTAACGAATCAGTTATGCAAGTTAACGTGTAAATATGAAAAACAGAGAGTTCCATTTATTAGCCTTAATTTGCAAATTATTCAGGTTCTTAAAACATCATAACACTTGGTATGTCCTTATTGTACAGTTTGTCTTTAAGTCAGTCAGCACTAAAGAAATAAAATGTTTGGAGCAACGCAGTCACTAAATAATTTTAGTAGAATTGATACTAACTTAACAAATACATGTACTAACCTAGTCTTCCTGGCTGAAATTATATTTTTAATTTTCATTCAGTGAGAGAAGGTTACGCTGATTTACAAGAATAATTATCACTGAACGATCAGTTGGGGCAGAATAAATGAATTAAATGTATCAAAGAATTTGAAAAATGGTACAATTTCATTGGACAAAATATTATTTCAACCAATGAAAAAATCATAATAATGGAAGCTTACTTCCCTGTTAGCATATTATAAATAAGATTAATGCTTATATAATGTTAAATTTAACTGTGCAAACTGTGGAGTTAAAAATAATTACTCATATTTATTATTAAAAAGAAATCATTAATTTTCACAAAGTTTAGAAAAATGTAAATTGGAAATAAAAAGAGCACAATTAATACTTTTCTGGCTAGAGGAATATTCAACTCTGTACACATGCTGTTTAAGCTCTTCAGTATCCTCTTCTCCCATGCTTGCTGAAATTATATTAAACTTGTTTATCACATAAACCGCGGCGCAGGAGTGTAATAAAGCCATTTAATAAAAACGATATTACACTAGACGATATTACACTAGTGTAATAACACTTTGACGTCACTTTGACGTCACGTCATTTGCACTATAAACATAGCGTTAAAGCGCGCTAATGTTAGCGTTACACTATAGGCGCATCAAGAAAAATGACTTTTGATAAGAGTTTACTGTTCTTATTTTATATATGTGATAAATAGAGTATTATATTCGTGTAGATTCAATACTAAATTTATTGAACTCGTTGAATAAAACAATATTATGCTCGCCAGAGGCTCGCATAATATGATTTTATCCAACTCGTTCAATAAATTTAGTATTTAACCTACACTCATTCAATATCCTCTATATATTATCATGATGATTAGATCATAAGTTTCTAATAACCATATAATGAATATTTAATTAATCATTATTAGAACTGAAAATTGATAAAATTAATATTCATGATGATTAATGATAAAGTTGTTTTTTTCATAGTTATACATTAATATTCATGATGATTATTATTATTATTATGTTTTTTTCTTTTAATAGTAATTCATTAATGATAATTTTTTTCATAGTAATTCATTATCTCATGATGATTAATGATAATGATGATCATAAATGCTAACATATTAATAGTCATGATGATTGAATGACCTCATAATTACTGATAAAGAACCATTATAATTCATGAAAATGATGATCCACAATTTTTAATTTATGAATAATCATGATGACTAAATGATAACATTTTTCTTCCATATCTATCAATGATTCTATTAATCAACAAGAGCACCGCTAGGCGGAGCATTATATGCCCGAAAGTGGTTTTTTTTAGTAAGGATGAAGCATTTGTAAGACATGGAATTCGCTGTTCATCCTATAAAATTTTACAGCTGTAGGTTGATTAATACTTAAGTTATTAATAATGACCTTAACCGTTGACCTTGTGACCCCAAAATCAATAGGGGTCTTCTACCTTATATGGACAATCATCCTAAGAAGTTTGAATATTGTGGGCCAATTGGAACTTTAATTATGCTCTAGAAACTGTTTTCAGTATTAAGGTAAAAGTGACTTTGACCTTGTGACCCCAAAATCAATAGGGGTCTTCTACCCAATATGGACAATCATCCTATGAAGTTTGAATATTGTGGGCCAAATGGAACTTAAGTTATGCTCCAGAAACTGTTTTCAGTTTTAAGGATATAGTGACCTTGACCCTTGACCTTTTGACCCCAAAATCAATAGGGGTCTTCTACCCAATATGGACAATCATCCTATGAAGTTTGAACACTGTGGGCCAAATGGAACTTAAGTTATGCTCTGGAAACTGTCTCCAGTATCAAGGTAATAGTGACCTTGACCTTTGACCTTGTGACCCCAAAATCAATAGGGGTCTTCTACCCAATATGGACAATCATCCTATGAAGTTTGAACATTGTGGGTCAATTGGAACTTAAGTTATGCTCCGGAAACTGTTTTCAGTATCAAGGTAATAGTGACCTTGACCTTTGACCTTGTGACCCCAAAATCAATAGGGGTCTTTTACCCAATATGGACAATCATCCTATGAAGTTTGAACATTGTGGGTCGAATGGAACTTAAGTTATGCTCCGGAAACTGTTTTCAGTTTTAAGGTCATAGTGACCTTGACCTTTGACCTTTTGACCCTAAAATCAATAGGGGTCTTTTACCTAATATGGACAATCATCCTATGAAGTTTGAACATTGTGGGTCGAATGGAACTTAAGTTATGCTCCGGAAACTGTTTTCAGTTTTAAGGTAATAGTGACCTTGACCTTTGACCTTGTGACCCCAAAATCAATAGGGGTCTTCTACCTAATATGGACAATCATCCTATGAAGTTTGAACATTGTGGGTCAATTGGAAGTTAAGTTATGCTCCGGAAACTGTTTTCAGTTTTAAGGTCATAGTGACCTTGACCTTTGACCTTTTGACCCCAAAATCAATAGGGGTCTTCTACCTAATATGGGCAATCATCCTATGAAGTTTGAACATTGTGGGCCAAATGGAACTTAAGTTATGCTCCGGAAACCAAATTGCTAACGGACGGACGGACGGATGGACGGACGGACGGACAGACAGACAGACAGACGGACGCCAGGGGGTATAACATAATATGCCCTTTCGGGCATATAAAAATCATGATAATTAACACTACTGATAATCATATGTTAATTGATTAAAATCATGATGATTAATAATAATGATTAACCCCATGAGATTATGATTATAACTAATGATGATTAATAACAATGATTATAATTTATCCCCATGTCTAATGGTGAACAGCTTCACTGGTGTATGGAGACCTCAGACTCAGATGCCCTTCAATGAATAACAAGCAAATTCGTTGAATTTATATCCCCCGCCGAGTACTGGTTATTATTAACACAACAACTGAAGACATATTAGGCTTTATTAATATATTAATCATGGCATTAACTGTAATATTCTTTGAACTTGAAGCCTTGTACCTTCAAACAAGAAGAAGTTTTCACTATATACATATAAGGTAAATCTATGACCCCCTGGAGTGGGGCCAATTTTGACCCCAGGGCTATAGGTTATATCATATACCAAATATCAAAGCTCTAGGCCTTGTACTTTCAGACAAGATTTTTTTATTTTGCATTTTTGAAACTCCTTTTCTGGCCCTGTGACCTACTTATGCAACAGACCGGAACCATTTGATCAACTTTTGCAGGGGACCACCATAAGATGTTGAAAATTGCAAACATTTTCTAAGTCAAGGGCAATAACTCTAAAAATACTAAATAAATCCAGACGAAAATACCCAGGTGCACAACTACACATGCTGATCAACATTCCTGTAAAGTATCATGACTTTAGGTCAAATACTTTTTGAGTTACATGCGACACAAGTTGAAAAATTGCAAAATTTTACTAAGTCAAGGGCAATAACTCTAAAAATAGTAAAAATATCCGGACGAAAATACCCAGGTGCACAACTACACATGCTGATCAACATTCCTGTAAAGTATCATGACTCTAGGTCAAATACTTTTTGAGTTACATGCAACACAAGTTGAAAATTGCAAAATTTCACTAAGTCAAGGGCAATAACTCTAAAAATACTAAAAATATCCAGACAAAAATACCCAGGTGCACAACTTCACATGCTGATCAACATTCCCATAAAGTTTCTTTGAATTCCAGCCATTAGTTGCAGAGAACTACTCCGGAAACGAAATTCGGACGTTTTACTAAGTCAAGGGCAATAACTCTAAAAATACTAAAAATATACAGACAAAAATACCTAGGTGCACAACTTCACATGCTGATCAACATTCCCATAAAGTTTCGTTGAATTCCAGCCATTAGTTGCAGAGAACTACTCCGGAAACGAAATTCGGACGTTTACTAAGTCAAGGGCAATAACTCTAAAAATACTAAAAATATCCAGACGAAAATACCTAGGTGCACAACTTCACATGTTGATCAACATTCCCATAAAGTTTCGTTGAATTCCAGCCATTAGTTGCAGAGAACTACTCCGGAAACGAAATTCGGACGGACGGATGGACGGACGGACGGACGGACGGACAGACGGACGGACGGAAGGACGGACGGACAACGCCAAAACTATATCCCCCTCCCGATTCCATCGGCGGGGGATAATAACTGGCATTCAATGTGGGTTCATGAGTAGAACCATCAACTTTCTTTAAGCCAGTCGGTTAAGCTGGATTTTTAAGCTTTATCACCTAGGAAAGAATTCAAAGTATTTGGTAGAATTTGAAGCCACTCTGGAGAGGGGCAATTAATTCAAAGACTGCAGCATTAACCACTCTCCTATTAACCCAGGTTACATGATGCTTATAAATGTTAAATAGACTCGTCCATCTCTTAATCTGGACAACAACCATCTATTATTCTAGGGAAGATTTTCAAAATATGTACTGACTAAATAAGAAACAGTGCAGACAAATGAGACAGTTGTTCTGGGTGATTTTGTTCTGCACTGGTCCAATGGGTAGAATTCTGTTGCTAGCAGAAGCGTTAAGGCAAAGGATTTCTATTAATTTGTTAGCATACCCTAATCACTAACTTTGTTGTTTGTTTGTTTGTTTGACTTAAAAAAAACATACCCATACCCTCACAAAAAATGGAAGAATTAAATCAATAACCAGACAACTAAAAGAAATAATTAACCCTATTGAAAAGATAAAACTCACACTTAATGCATTTAAACTTAAGTATTATATTGCTAGCATTATTATCTCAGATCTATGTGATTTAAAATGCCTTTAAAATGTCTGTAATGAGCCTGTTTAAAATCAAATACTGAGCCTGTTTTAAATCAAACTTAAAGATCCTGTAACACATTATTTTTATGGTTTTATATACAAATTATGATGCTCAAATTAAGATTTATCGATATTGTAAGTTTCAAAAAAACATTATTTATAAAGATATTACCGAATTTAATATTTCATGTAAATAAAGGGAGGTAATTAGAATTTAGTTTTCTATAAATTCTAAGTCAAATTTTCCAATAAGAAATGAATGCATATAATTTAATGATTACCTTAATATGTACAAATATTTGCAATACATATTTTACATATTCTTCCATGTTTGAAAATTGACAAAATTGCATAATTACATACATATATAATTCAATCAAGAGTGGTATGCAGGGCCTCCGTGGCCGAGTGGTTAAAGTCGTTGACTTGAGATCACAGGTCCCTCACCACTGTAGGTTCGATCCTCACTCGGGTCGAAATCTTTCATGTGAGGAAGCCATCCAGCTGGCTTACGGAAGGTCGGTGGTTCTACCCAGGTGCCCGCTCGTGCCTGAAATAATGCCCGGAGGGGCACCTGGGGTCTTCCTCCACCAATAAAGCTGGAAAAAAATCGACGAAAAATCTCGGCGGGACGCTCTAGGATGACCCGACTTGAGTGTACGGTCGCCCATATGGGCTTTCCGGCGGCGACCTTAAATAAACGCAATTAAAAAAAAAAAAAAATATGCAATCTCAATTACAAAACATACAGGATCCTGTAACACAATTTTTTCATGGTTTTATTGCATAAATATGATGCTCAAATTAAGATTTGTCAATATTGTAAGTTCCAAAAAGCATTATTTATAAAGATATTACCCAATTTAACATTTCATGTAAATAAAGGGAGGTAATTAAAAATTTATTTTCTATAAATTCTAAGTCAAATTTTCCAATAAGAAATGAATGCATGTTATTTATTGATTAAAAATAATGTGCACAAATATTTGCAGTACACATTTTACATATTCTTCGTTCTTTTAAAATTGTTTTATTTGCATAATTATATACATATATATTTTTTTTGCAAGTGTGGTATACACACAGTAACAATATCAATCACAAAACATACAGGATCTTTAACACAAGCAGGGAATACACTAAGAAAGACAGTAAAAAAACACAATAAAAAAATACATCAGTTACAATCAATTTAAGCTCCAGTAATCTAAAATAATCTCATGCACCTTCATTTTACATCATTAAAACACTTGTTAGTACCAGGTGTCTCCTGGGTTAAATACAGGCTTCAAAAGATTTCCGATTTAATTTAGCAAAAAATCACCAGAATGCCTATTTATTCAAGGTATATGTCAATTAATTTAATCCTTAATTTCTCCTGATTCAAACAAATTAAGCTGACAGTTTTAGTAGTCTGCAACCTACAAATGAAAGTAATCTCTATGATTTACAGATAAATCGCTTTGGCAAATATGCAAGAAAAAAGTTATACTAATCATCAATTACATTACTATTAGCATGTCTTTTTTAATCTTAATCTTGCTACTTTTCCTTGCTTTTCATTAAGAGATATAAATTCATCTGGAAAAGGCCACACACATTTTATTGCATTTGTTTTACTGCTTCAAAAGTATTAATTGAGCAAGATTCAAAAAGTGCAAATTTAATTACACATGCTGTTAAATGTCAAGCTAATTATTTTTCAGTTTATTACAAATTTCTAACGTATTCCAGATGTTGAAATTGTGTAAAAATATGGTATCATCTCAGGGTCAGACATATAGTAGAAAAACATGTTTTTTTTAGAATGAAAAGAAAGTTTATTGAAATGGGAAAGACTCACAGTGTAATAAAGAGAAACCTTATTATCAGTGATAATAAAAAAAAGCCATTGCAAAACTTTCAAAATTCATTTGGCAAATCTGCCTAACTGGAGTTATCTGCTTTGGTCAGTGGCCTGAAATTATGTCTCCGAACATACAGTGACTCTCCCGTTCACATGCATACTAACTTTGAGGGCTCAAGCAAATTTGTTTGAAATAAAAATTATTGGTAGTTTGAGCCAAACATAGTAGAAGCATTATCATGTATAATAAGATAAATTAAAAACAAAACATATAACTTTGTCATCTTTCAAACATATTATTGGGCCGGTATACATATACATGTAGTATGTTTCTTCTCATATCAAGATTTTTTAGCACATGTGTTATTAATTATGAGAATTTTTGTATCACATGACTGTGTAGATCCATATTCTATGTATATTGTATTGTACATTTGTATATTTCTGTTTTCATAATAGCAATGTTTTTATTGAAAGATTCCTTTTTTAATTTGACAAAGTTTTTATTTCTATGTTAACATCACATTCTATTAAACATAAATAATAAAACGGACATTGAGTCATTTGTTGATATTTTATAAATGTCATTTTTTCAGAAGAAGACAAAACGTCAAAAGCTAAAGAAAAGCATTTGTTTGTATTGAACTGATTATATATATTGTTCTTTAATAGCATTTCTATTCCTTGAAAAGCTTTAAGAGTTTCAGAATCTAATATTCAAGCAATCTGAAGAAGAAGAATTGAATTTGATATAATACATGAGGATTTTACAGGGACCTGGTGATTACTTCAAGGGATTCAGGGAGGTATACACAAGCAATGTATATCATGCAAAGCTTCAAGTCAATCTCATAGTAGTTGTTGAGATAAAACTTGCCACTAAAACCTATACAAGAAATTATGCCAATGTGCATCTCGAAAAAAATCCCCAGGCGACTAAGATTATTTAGGCACCCAGCCCACATTGTTTGAGCACTAGTTGTTGAGCTAAATATGACATCCAAATAAGTAAAACTTTTCCTCTAGGTACTGAAAATTCAAGCATCTAATTTCTCTGATTCTTTTGATTTTTTCTCATTCCTTTCTCAGATTCTTTTTCATACTTTCTCCGTTTCTTTCTCATTCTCACTCTGATTCTTTTTCATTCCTTTCTCAGATTCTTTCTCATTCTTTCTCAGATTCTTTCTCAGAATCTTTCTCATTATCACTCTCATTCTTTCTCAGATTCTTTATCATTCTTTCTCAGATTCTTTCTCATTCTCATTTTTTTCTCAGATTCTTTCTCAGATTTTTTCTCATTCTCACTCTCATTCTTTCTCAGATTCTTTCTCATTCTCACTCTCATTCTTTCCCATTCTTTCTAAGATTCTTTCTCAGATTCTTTCTCTCTCAGATTCTTTCTCATTATTCAGTGACCATTAAGTTGCTAAATTATAATTGAATTCCTATCTAAGATTCTTAATACTAAATTCCATTGATTCAAAAGTAAAGCTGAACTACCAATTTTTACATGAAATCCGGCAAGCTTCTTTAATAACATTGAAATCTGGATCAGACAGATGTTTATTGAATTTTAAGAAAGAAACCTTAAAATCTCACAAAATTAATGCTAACAACACCAGAATAAAAGCCTTTCTAAAATTAGATGAAGTTTTAGAAAATTCTTCCTTTTTCCACCAATTTATTTTCAAGTTTTTGCTGTGATTTTAATTCTGCTTTCAAATACAGTCTAACTTGCCCATGCGACCACGTGTATTAAGCGACTTTTGTCTTAAACGACCACTTTAAATTCCCCCCGATCAATTTCTCTCTACATCTTTAATGTATTAAGCGACTTTTGCTCAACGCGACCAGCGACCGCTAATTAGTCACCTAATTGAGATCAATCTTTTCATTAAACGACCACTTTTACCTGTCAAGTAATTGTGTTTTTAGAGAACGCCACCTCGTAATGTTACAAGTGTCAACAATCAAAACACAACAAGTAAACGTGTGAAAAACTCTATTTCCCAAACCGTATTAGCGTATGCAAATGAAGTTAAGTATACCCGTGACGTGTATTATCCAATAATATCGGATAAACAATGCACCGCTCCGCCCCTTCTGAGATGGTGTATACGCTTCGCTTGTTGACATTTAGACTGCATTGAATTGACCTTGAACTTGATCAGCAATAAAATTAATCATAACAATTAGATGTAGTTTGTTTATTTCAAATGAAAAAATGCACAACAGAAAACATCTTCACTAATACGGTTTTCGTATTGGAGACAAGGAAAAACAACGGAGAAGTTAAAAAACTCTGGAAAAAATGTCAAACATGTACGTTATTTGTCAATAAATATCAGAAAGTTATTTTTTACAATTGCATCCATTTAGATTATCGTAGCGTAATAATTATTCAACATTTATGTAAAAATGAAGTTGAAAAACATTCCCACTTCATAAGAAAGATGTCATTTATAAATTTTGACTTTTATATCATGCTGACTGTCTTAAGAGACCGTTTCATTAAGCGACCGTTTTGGGTGTTTCCCTTGCGTGGTCGCTTAATACACGTTTGACTGTACTTGGAAAATAGAAAATTTGTCACTAAACCAGAATAATCTCTTCAAGAAAATTGGCACATTTTTTTTTACCTTTCATGAATGGCTTAGGACATCAAGGTTTTTTACTCCAATTTTCATTTAAGATGAAAATCATTAATATTAAGTCACTCATTGGCACAAAGAATAATATTTCTTGTAGTGCTTAACCTTTTTTCTGAGTAAAATTTTAGTAGGAATTACATGGCATTACTTTGAGAATGTTTTAAATGAATTGTCATATAAAGGCAAATTGTGTAAACAATGAGGGGAAATGTGTGAAACTTACAAATTTTCTCATTAACACTGAATGCCAAAAATTTGAAAAAAAATGTCATTTCCTCATACCCCACCTCTAGCAAACAACACAACGCTCCCTTATTTAGCTGTAGCAGACATTTGTGATTTGCCTTTCTTTTTCTGTTATAAAAATGTTTAAATGTTTTAAAGTATTCTTTAACAATTTACTTTCATGTATATTATATGCAGTTACAGACTATGTGCAATTTTTTTTCAGTTTTGCCACTTTTTGTGATGCCTGCTATCATAGTAACGGCAACATATGGATAATTTCTCTGTCGTCTGTCAGAACTAATGTATGGACTAATCGTCAAAACTACTGGTGCAGTTTCATCAAAATTTTACATGAACTCAGTACTAAGTCGATGTCCAAGAATGATCGCTGATCTCTCTTGTATAGCTTTAATAAGTTAATTTAAATGTCAGCTGTATGTTTGGGACGGAGTTATATGGGAATATTAGGTGCCTGATAGATACTGAATCATTATGTGACAATTTAGATGACATTTGATAAAAAGTTTATCGTCTGTTAATAAAATGCTTTACCTGTGCCTTCCTCAGGTATACAAAAGGCTCCTTGATATGTTCTGCTGGTGTTGAAAGTGGGTGGGAAGATAGTGGGTGTGTCTGTAAGTACTGGTATATCCTGTTACGTAACTTCCTCTCCCAGCCTACAGTATAATCTAATCATTGTGAATATATGCATAATATCTTATCATGACATACTTAATACATTTGAATATCATATTAGCATGGGATTCTGTATTATTGGCATACTAATAACGTTTTCTGTATGTTTGCATTAAATTTAATTGATGTTTTGAATAATGAATGTTTAATCTGAAACAGAACAAATTCAACTAATCATTACATTTTGTATCAAATGAGGTCAAAGATTTTAACTTCACCACATATATGGTATAAAAAGTTGACAGAAAGTTTAAATTAAGGCTTTTTTATATTAGACAAAAAAAGAAGGGCAAACTTTCAATGACTACTAGTAAATAATTTTTGAGATTACCATCTGCAAATGGCCCTAGATGAAATAAGAAACTTAAATCCCTAACCTTGTGAGCCAAATAGATTATAAATTAGATGATAGGTTTCTTTTAATGTAAAGAAAGTACATGACTCATAATTAAACCAAAATCGTATGGCTAAAACATATGATATATGCTTACTGATTTTGGCTATATACATGATGTAAATTCAAAAAGTTGATATATTTTTCACCTCTTTCTAAAAAAATCCAACCTTTTACTTAAAAAAGAAAAAAGCATAGAAATGACATCACTTTATTAACATCACATAATATCTCACCTGATGCTGCTAGGCCCGACTGAACACCTTTCTTCAATTCTGATACTCGAACAGACGTTTTAGAGATTTCACTCTGAATAAAATTAAACAAAATTGATTGTACAAATGAATAGGATTTGAATCTTTATTCTCAAAGGATACCAAAATCAATGTCAAAGACCTGTCATACTGTACTTGTCTAAGTCTAGGTCTTAAGACATCAATAGAGAAAGTGTATAGAATAAAAACACTGATAATTAAAGCTATTATCTGGGTACAAATATCTCTCATGTCACATCATGTAGTGAATTACAGTCAACCCGGTCCTAAGTTAACCCGGCCCCAAGTCAACCCGGCCTCAAAATTGGTCAACCCGGCCCCAAAATTGGTCAATCCGACCCCACAGAATTTTTATTTGGTCAATGCGGCCCCAAAATTGGTCATTCCGGCCCCAAAATCGGTCATTCCGGCCCCAAAATATATATTTCCAAAGAAAACTATTCAGGTCATTTTGTTGTATGCTGGAATGAAAATGATTTATTATTAATTGAATATTATTAACTATTATAACATCAACAATTATATGTACATCAACATTATTTCAGATGTGATAATCAAACAGTTTAAAGCAATCAATTAACAAAAAAGGTATACAGCTGTGAAAAACAAATCCTTTAAATAAGTTGCTAGTATCTTTCATGTCTTTATTCGATCACTATTACATATATATATCAGTGATTCGATGTAAATTAAAGATGGTTTCGTGAGTGTTAATGCGATAATTTGGAAGAAATGCACAGAATTTAGAGTTAAAAGGTTTGTATAAATTAAGTTTCAAACAATCTTTTTTTCAGTTCATTTGAATGTATTTATTGAATACGTTCATCAGTATAATTAATATTTGTTTAGTTTTTTATTAACTTATTTTCAAAGAATATTTACTGTGTAAAAAAAGTATTGGAATATTACTAAGTGTTTGAAAAAATGATAGTGTTTTGTGTTTAATCACTTTATGTCATTTTAACTGATAACTGTATTGATTGTGGATATATTGTGCGTGACAGACAGGAGGCAGTGACCTGCGGTACCTGTGATAGATGGCAGCATCATTATAATTAATCTTACTTAAAACTGTTAATGGAAACACTTTAGTAAGCTTTTGGTCATTTCTTTTATTTTTTATTTTTTACCATACAATAACATGGTAATGATTTGAACACATTCAGGTTTCTTTTCCATGATATGTCAATAAAAAAGTTTAGTTATTTCTTAATACTTCTATCGTAGAGAGGTTAAGGTTGAAGACAGACGTCACCTTATTTTCGCGACGGTAAAAATAGTAAACTATGCATGTGTTGCTTGTTTGTTAATATTGCTAGTTTTTATATAAAATAAATAATAAAAGATATCATCGTTTTAACTTTTGATATTGTTTTTGTTGTTAATTTTTTTTTATTTCTTGATAAGTGTTTATTTTTTAAAGCAAAATAAATAATAAAAAAATGGGGCCGGGTTGACCAGAAATAACATTGGTTTGGGGGCCAGGTTGACCAATTTGGGGCCGGGCTGACTTGGGGCCGAGTTGACTTTGGGCCGGGTTGACTTGTACCGCATGTAGTTATACTTGGTTTTTATCACATATCACTTATCACTTTTGTTTAACTGTTTAATTTACCAATCTTGGTAATGGAGGGAATTTAAAACTAAAGACAGAAAATTTGCTTTTTATTTTCTATTTGGCATTGTGCCATTCCAGTATCGGTTATATTGAGTGGGAAAACTCTGAATAAACTTAATTTCAAAATAATTACAAAAAAGAAAATATTTTGTTAATTGATCTGATGAAAAATTACATGGAAATCAAGCTCTAATCAAGCCTGCATTTCAAGGTTTCCTGTTTGAAAGTCATGTCGCATATTGTAAAGTATTATGCTAAAAAAACTCTTGACTCATATTTACAAACAGCAAAACAATCTCATTGAGTTAAGCATTTAAAAAAGAAAGATTAGTTTGTCTTTTTCATCATTTTAGGATATTGATCATGCCTTCAAAGCTCTGTAGTTATAACTGTGAGATTGTTTTTTTATTCCCTGGTTAATTTATTACATCTAGGAAGTGGGTGACATTAACTGATAAAGCTCAGGTTCATAGGTCCCTGAAGTGGGGTTTGATATATGTTTCTTTCTCTTTGATTTGTATATCTTATTTTGAAATAATGTACATGTGCAACAAATATCAAGGATATGTGCAGTGATATTTGTGCATTTGTGAAATAAATTAAATTTGTAAAAGTTCAAAAACTTTCCATTACTTCTTAAAACAACCGTTCAAAGAATCAACCATGTCTTTTCAGCTGGAGTATGAGAGTAAAGCATAAATTCAAAATTAGAGCACAAACAAGGAAGTGGCTAGCTGTACGTAATATCGCTTATCATGCAGTTTGTAAAGTCTGTCGGTCTTGCAGAACTTTGAAATAATAAGACTAGTCATTCGCGAGTTGTATGGCTAGCCTTAACAGTGCATTTTGGCCAGTCGTACGTGACTCACATACAGTAAGGCTAGAACTTTTGCCTACCAATAAAGGCCCGTATGGCTAGCCACTGCCAACTAACAAATTATTGAAACAGAACAGATCAAAGAACATGATCAGTTTTTTGTCAAATGATAATCGGAAAGATCCCTCAGATCGTATTACCTGAGCTGCATTTTGTAGATCTGTGTATATTTTAGATGACTTCAGTGTTTGTAGTAGATTCTGCAAATAAGTAGGGGAAAAATGCGAGTCCATCATTCTTTCTGTTTTTTCAGTCTTAAATTTTCAAGTTTTTGCAGTCTTAGCAACAGTTAAGATCATCACGCGATCAACATCTTTACAGCTAGGTTTAATTATTAAACAGTTCAATTAAAGTTCAATTAGCATATTAGATTATTCATTTAATTCAATTATGCAACAGAAAAAGCAAAAATGTTAAAAATTATTGAATAAAAACAGTTCACATTTCATTTGTTTACATCTCAACAGCCGGTGCGCATGTAAACATATAATCGTAAAGATATCAATATTCCCCATATTCTCGCACCGCTAAATTTGAAGGCGTGATCGGAGTGGCCCGTTTTCTTCGCAGCTTGGATTGTGAATAAAAATAAACGCACGAGAATTTTATTATTATTTTGTATAACATGAAATAAAGCATTGATATTTAAACGGTTTATGTCAAAAAAGGTTATATTAAAGTCAATAAAGAAAATAGCGTTGTTTCTTGACTTTATTTAAATTGATACTTGTTTTCTTTGCTGCAATTTTCTTAGTTTGTTTATAGCTTTATTTACAGTAATTAAAACTGTGAGTTTTCCTGGTTTAAAATGGTTTACTTACGATTCTGATTGTAAATATTTATTCTTTAATAATAAGTGTATTTGTATTTTTATGTAAAATGTCATGTGGGTCATACAAATTAAGGGTCTATTAAAAGCACCTTTTATTTCCTCACAAGACACCCTGGGCTACTGAAACTTTCATACCTGCCTCCTTTTTAGGATTAATATATCCGTTACATAGATCTATATGTATATAGGAACGAAGGGCTGTTTGCATATTTATTACTCCAGCCGATTTTAGTTTTGAAATGCACGCGAAGTCGCCATTTAATTTTAATTAAAATGCAGATTTCATGTTCTCTCGGGAAGACCCGCATACCAACTCCCCTTTGCCCCTTTTAGGATGCAAACCTAGGTTTTCAAACTTAAACACACACGTAATAGAAATTTTCTGGCTGACGTTTGTGAGAATTTGAAAATTAATAATCTAAACAGTTCATTTTAAAAAAAGCGAGGGGTCACGTCAAAGAATAAGATTTTTGTCCTTCAGAAAATTGGCGCTCAAATTCAGTTGCTTTTTTTATATTAAACATGCCGTCAAATTAATTGCAATATGAATGACTGGTGGATTTTATATTACATATCACGGGCCTGCTTGTCTGAGCAATGAAAAAGCATACTCTTTTAAGGTCTTATTAAATGAGCCGCTACAGACGACATGTCTATTCGATGGGTTACACAGCTAACTTGCAATGATTTTAAAATTGAGAAAATAATATTGTATAAAGACTTAAGAACATGCAAGACAGAATTTTTGATTCTAGCCGATCTCTGAAAAATATATACAAATAAAATGGACTTTTCTGATGCATTTTCATTTGCACTATTTGAATTGATGTTTCTATAAATTTCCAGAAATTTTCAGCCTTTAGCAAATGCATACAAGAGCTTTAAATACCACTCTTTTTTTGAATATCATGTGATAGGTTCTGATGCATTATTGGATTAACACAATTTATAATACACGTTTAAAGAACTACATTTACCCAGAAAACTTCAGACGTGCAACGGTATAAGATACTAACATTTTAAAGGAACTTTCCCTTCTTTCGGGATACATTGCTTTTTTCATAAAAAAATGTACAAGAAAGGGCGTTTGTCGGGTAGGTGCGGGGGCTTCAGTCCCTTTAGCCGGCCGATCCGTGCCTGCCTAGGCACATACTAGTTTGTATGCGATAAGTAATCATTTTGATAACATAGGTGATAGAGTATACATGCATGTATATGATTTAAACTCGTGTATTATTTAAACAAAGATGCCAATAGAACTCGAATGCCTCGTTTTTATATACTCTTATATAACGTCGCCTTATTCCCACACTGATGTAACTTGCATTTTTGTTTGCTCTAATAAAACCTGATCTATTTTATACAAACTTGATTAATGCTTCAGAAGGATCACTTTCTCCAGATTTTTCTACTTCACAACAGCAGGTGTGAATTGCTGTGTGGCAGTGGTAAAAAAAGTTACCCCGTACTTTAATTCAGTGTTGTTATATTTTTCTGGTCTTCGGGATCATTGATTCCATCACTTTTAAGTGTTAAAAATTAAATGCCGCCCCAGCCGGTGCTAGGGGGCATGAGAGATATTGCAATTTCTCATTATCCCTCATACACAGACTCAGTTAAAATCGAATCTGCAGTTTTCATGTATTTTTTTATGTGATTGATGCTTCCGAGTGATCACACTTTCTTCAGATGTTTTTGCTTAATATAATAATAATATATTCTTTAAACGACGAAACGGCTTTCGGCAATGTCTGCGTTCGATTTTTATTGAAATATCCTGCGTGAGAACGAGGGCACTATCTTATTATATCTCTTGTAAATGTTTTTTATTATTTTTTTTGCAACGTCGGGGATACGTTAATGAGATCATCCGTGATTGATGTTCACTACGAGCAGCTGATGTCTGATTTACATATAACTCTTCAATCTTCATAATTACATTGTTGTCCTCACTGGGTTATGTAAACATTTTTGGAATAATAATGGCACCGTGCGAAAAATCGGACAAACTCTCAAGTGCCATTGACGAACTTTGTAATCAAAGATCGTTACAAAAGGTCTAGATTGTAGAATCAATTACCGGTCTACTTATTTCAACGGCAAACACATCTTGATTAATGTGCTATTCCAAATGACGGACCGACTGACAAAATATGTTGTTTTAACTTTTAGCCATGTAGAAAAACATAGCTATGCACCACTTTGGTATATTGTACTTCTTGAGAGTTTAACCAAGTAAAAGATGCACTAAATATCGCTTTAGGTCCCCATACGTCATTGACTTATATATGTTTTTCAGCCGAGTACGGGTCAAAATCACTTGAATTTACTTAATAATATTACTAAATACATTAGATGGGACCATTCACAACCATCAGTAGCATCTGATACACGCGAAATTCGAGTTTGAAACCTTGACATGACGGGACCGGAATTTTCTTTTCAAAATGTGTGTACCACTGAATGTAGGTCTGGACCAAAATATCTTGTTCGAAAAATGTCAGATCAGTCACTTATCAAGTTTTTATCTTTTTATAATCACCTTTTTTATTGTGCAAAATGTCACAAAAATAAAATGCATCACAACGCTTTTGTGTGAAAAGTGTTGTGATGCATTTTATTATATTTTATTAAATATATTCTTTTACAATTTTTGCAATTTTTTTTTGTGTTTGTTTTTTGTTTGTTTTGTTTTGTGTGGGTTTTTTATTTTCCTTTTTTGATGTTTCACGTGATCTTTGTTAGAATGCCATCCATGTTTATGCTTTTTGACTTCAGTGGCGTTCCATTAAGGCAATTCATCAATTCATAATTATGTAAATTTACCCACTCCCTCTAAAATGCTTCAAGTCATGTGAAACTTGTTATTTTTTTTTTACTTCATTATAATCAATTTTATAATAATGAAATATTCTAATTATTCTGATGGTCATGCTTTGACTCAATTTTTATATATTTAGAGTATAAAATAAAATAAGAGATACCTCTCTAATACTGATACTTCAACATTTATTATAAGATTGCTATCTCATGAAAACCACCATGTTGGGGAAAATCTTCACTTAATCATGGCTATTGTCACATATTCAAATAATTATGTTTTATTTCACTAAAATGACGAACGACATGTTTGCTTGCAGTGCTATTAGGACATTTTTTGTAAAAAAGGATACATAATTTGCTTTGTGCATATCGTATATCTGAATTACTTGCTTACAAGCTGCAAGACCTTTGTTATTGTCGTTTTTTTTTCTTGTTGTTAGAAAACTATATTCTTCAATATAAAATGGGAATTTTATTAAACTGTTTGTTGAAAGGAGGCCCTTTTAAAGCGTCGTGCGAACTTTTGGCGCTCATCATTCATTGGTTATACATGTACATGTGTATATGGATAGTCATGTGAACATTAGTTTTATGCGAATCAATTAGTTTTTGATTTTTTTTGTTTACAATAAGGCAATGGAAAAGACATTTATGATTTGGCAACCTTAAAATAAAATGAACGATAGGTGAAAAAGGGTCTTTCGAATAGAATCCATTACTGCTACAAATGAATTTGCAATTAAGTTCAGTAGACAAATTATCTTCTAAAAAATGATAAAACTTAATTGTTGCTGTTGTTGTTGTTGTTATTTATTTAAGCTATATTATACATGAATATCTCGCGAATAATGTCTGGTCCTATGGAAATAAATAAATAAATAAATAAATAAATAAAAAAAATAAATGAAATAAATAAATAAATAAATTTTATTAGTGTTATAACGATATAGAAATATCTTAAAAATTAGACGGCGAACATAATATAGTTTTGGCATCATTTGACTTAGGAAGGGTTACTGTTTAGCATGGAAGACAGTTAATAATTGATCAAGGATTTAAGCATCAACAGTGACTTTTTTTATATATGTAGAACATTTACTATGAAAACTGATAAGGCTTTAAAAATAAATAGCATATTATCTCATATGATTATATAGTTCTTTAAATTTCTGTTAATTTCTTTAATACGAATTAACTAGTTATTGTTTAAATTTATTTTTGTTCGATGGCCATATGAACATAGTTTTAGGTTCCGTGTATGTTGATAAAAAGTAATTGGCAATCTATTTGCATCACTTACCATTCAATGATGACGAATCGCGTGTCCTACTTTTTACATATCCTGTTTACCATGAATTGTGCGTTTACCAAGTATTCTTTTTAGCCCCAAAGTGTAGTTAAAATGTTGTTATTAACGTGAACGTAACGGTACGCTTATTTTATGTCGGTATTTGATAGATATGTTTTTTTCCCGCTTTAAACAAAGGCCGAGTGTGCGTAATTGTTATTTTCACGTTAATGGTAAATCGCTTTTAACTTAATTCTTAGTTGATGCAAAGATAAACTCGTAACGGATAGATTATTACACAATAATAATTACACTTACCTTTCTGTCAAACAAAAAGAGCTATACGTAGGGTAAAACTGGAAATAGAAAAAAGAATTTAATCTGCCAGTTAAACATAATTTATATTCAATAATTTAGATAAGGAACATATAAAGCAACGTTAAACTTAATAATTATACTTTTAACTATATCGACGAGATGATAACTTAAAAACTATCTTTTAAATCGTGAAACAAATTTTAAAAAA